GTGGTGGTGGTAGTGGTGGTAGTGGTAGTGGTAGTGGAGGTGGTGGTGGTAGTAGTGGTAGTGGTGGTGGTGGTGGTAGTGGTGGTGGTGGTGGTAGTGGTGGTGGTGGTAGTAGTGTTGTTGTTGTTGTTGTTGTTGTGTAGTGTAGTAGTAGTAGTAGTAGTAGTAGTAGTAGCAGAGTAATCGTATCTGTGTTTCGCTTTTTTCCTGCACGATTTTCTTTTATGCATACATGCATAGATCGGACTCGTTGGTCGTGACCCGCAACATATATTTCCTTGGTAGAGAAGGAAAGGATAATCGGATACTCGAGTCGTTTAACTCGTGTACTGCATTACGATTGATCGTTGAAGATGGTGTTCATCGCGAATAACGACGATGCAACAAATCGTCGAATGTTGTACAGAATGTTTGTCATTTATTACTGTATTCGTCTTTTTTACGCGAGTGTCATCTTTCCGCGTCTTTTATTAAATTCATCTTTTCCACGTCTTTTTGCTAAATGCTTCGATTGGTACTCTGGTACACGTGAGTGAAAATTCTTTAAAATATTATTATATTGAATGTTTTACATAATACGATAAAGGAATGAGGTTGATGAATGAACCTGTGGAATTTCTATAGCATCTTTGAGAATAGAACAGGTTGTGTCCTATCTAAAAAGAAAAGCGCCAATGTTCCGAGAATTTTCCCAATAATCTTAGACGACTGAAGGATGCACGATTACGCTAAATTATTCGTATTATATCACGTGGTGGTTGATTTAATATATGTATAATGTATAGGGTGTGTTAATATATCGATTTGTATATATCGTACTCGCAGTTGAATTTGTTCAACTTGTGCGCTCTATATATTCATATATATATCCGTTCATCTACGTGATCATCGTAATATGCTTGCGCAAATATACACGATTGCCAGTGGTGTCGAGTTGGATGAACAATAAAGTTATTCGTAAAGTCGATTCCACTTTTTCACACAGAATCAATTCATGAAATGTTGTCGTTTCGTGAACACACGTATTAAACACGACATCACTTGTTATTCGCTTTAGTGACAGCCACACTAAACGTATTGTTTATAACACGTTATTGTTAAACGTATTGTTAATAACGTGAAATAGACATATATAACGTTGTACGCTGTTAGAAACAAGAAGGAGATAAACATATCTTACATATCCCTGGAAACTTGGCATTTTCTTTTAACGTTTCTTTCATATCCGGAAACATTTTGCATTATCCGTATAGTTAAATACTTGCGAATATATACGAGGGTACGTAAACGGTTTTCTTCGTAATCTTCGTTTTCTTTTTTCGTTATTCGACGTTATTTCTACATTGTTTCTACGTTATTTCTACGTAACGGGTGAGGGGTGCTTTTTTGCGATTTCTTTCGCAAATCATTTCGTCGTTTTAGTTCGATTGGCACACAAAACATATTTGTGTGCGAAACGCGTTGCTTCATAGCGATAGGATGCCATCTCTTAGCTTTAACGTTGCGATACAGTTTCATCGGTCGAAGAAGACCACGCGCATCTTCTACGAATAGTTTTGATTTAATAGTGATTTGTTAGTGCGTGTTAAAAACTCGAACATATTTCCTAGACGTTGTATTGCAAACTCGAGTTATCGAATTTCCTTTCTTTCCGTCTTACACGTTTTGAAAGTCGAATCCCATGAATATCGCTGTAATATCTTCGATGTAGAAATCGCGTGACACTTGTCGTCTTCGTCGTCGTTGTCGTCGTTGTCATCGTTGTCATTTATCGCTGGAATGGTAAAGGATGATAAGGATCTCTATGATGAACAAAGAGACGTTTTCGAATAAGGAAAATGTCTAAATGTAGCATTATATTCTCGAGGTGCTCGGGTCATAATAAATTTCTAGTCTATGAGGAGTATTAGATAGAAGATGATATATGAGTACATATAAGGAAAAAATAATCTTATAACGCGATACACGTCACACGGAGTAGCTATGCATGATCGTGTACGCTTGATGGCTCGGTAAAAATCAACAAGGAAAATATTACGCTCTCGTTACGATGGCCAGTGTGTTGGCGCGGCTAGTAAGGAGTCACGGCGTGTACCCACGCCTCAAGATGGCCTTAGTCGTGGCTTGCGTCACAGGGGAACTTGAACAGAGGGGCGAGACTCGGGATGATATGCTATCGTGGTCAACTTCCGGTGACTCGTTTGTATATCGCTTCTCTTATTGATCCTTCATGCACATGCCTCGCTCTCTCATTCCTCCCTCCCTC